AAAAAAAGCTTCTCCCATGATGGACTCATTTTCAAGCTTAAAGAGCTCTCAATGTCGTGCCAACCTTTGTGGCACGCCTCTGAGGACAATTGCTCTAGCTCAGGGCTGCATCCCTAACCTCTCCACCCACCACCCACCATCCACCTCATTATCCTGTTACTGTTGACTGACCCTTCTAGTCTCACACACTCATTTCTATTCTGTATCACACTTTCCCTCTTGATTTCCAACTTTTCCCCCTTCTGCCTGTCTATGCTGGCCCAGTCCCGGCCACCTGCTGTCACTCAGTCCTTGCCATCCAGAGACTCAGTTATTCTGACTTGGTATTCCCATGCCATGTGTTTTTCCCCTCCATAGCACTGACCTTGATAGCAAGTACAAATTGCAGCTAATTCAATTGCCTTGAGGTTATGAGACCATCAGTCTTGCAAATGCTTGGCGTTGTTCAATGAAGTCTATGGGGAATAATAGAAATAAAGTCACGAATGAGGAAAATTATGGTGTGCTGGTAGAATCACTGTCTGGTTATCTGCAGGTGTTAAAGCAGCATTAGCCTTTATTGATATTTATTTAGCATCTTTAATACTCAGGGTACACATAAACCACATTTTGACCCATGAAGTGTTTGCATATGGAATTAAAACTAGATATACATGAGAAGTAACTAATCACTTACTCATTTATTTCCCAATTATTTGTAGAGTACTGACTATATGCTGAGGCCAAAGGTCATGGAGATGAAATGGTTTCATCCCAGCTTTCATGGAGCTTATGGTCAGCTAGGAGCAATATAAACAAACAGTAATAATGCTATCAGCTCCCTGCATGGTGGAATGCAATGCACATTGGAAAGAACTCTTTCTTGCATTATTTGTTATAACTCAGAGTCCCAGAGTCTGGTCCACAGACTTTGCAGACAAGACTCAGAAAAGGTCATCAGGGTCTGGAGCACCATCATTCTAACCTATTCCTTTGTCCGTACTCACTAGCAGTGAGCTCACAAGCTGGAAAAGGGGTTCTGCCACTATGAGCAACACTGGTTGCTCTCCAGAGGATCTGGGTTTGATTCCCAGCACCCACATGGCAGCTCACAACTGTCTGTCACTCCAGTTCTAAGAGATCTAACACCGTCCTCTGCTTTTGCAAGCACCAAGCAAAATCATGTGGCACACAAAAATGCATGCAGGCAAAATACTCCTACACCTAAAATAAAAATAATATCTTTTTTTAAAAGAAAAGAAGGTTAACACACTGAGCAAGGTTGCCTGTTTGTTCTTGTTGATACTGTGTGTGTGTGTGTGTGTGTGTGTGTGTGTGTGTGTGTGTGTGTGTGTGTGTGATACATTATAACTAAAGCAGACACATAAAAGGAAGGACAGTAAACCAGCATGATGGCTCAGGGGTAAAGTGTTTGTTGAATAAGCCTGATGAATTGAATTCAATCCCCAGATCCCATAGTGGAAGAAGAACTGATTCTCAAAGGTCATCTTCTGACTTCCTATACTATAGAAGGTGTGCACCTGTACAAACACACACTAATATACTAAATACACACTAATAATAAAATACTTTTTAAAAAATAAACAATAAATGGAAGGGCTCTTTGAGATAAATGAGTCAGAATATCCTCTGCCTCCCCCCAATTCCAGAGTCAACACAACTGTGATCTCAACAGGCCAGGCCAGAGCAAAGGCCTTCCTACCGCTAATGAAGAGTCTGGATTTCATGAATTCATCCAGAGATCTGGGATATTCACAAGTAGCAAATGTAGCAGTGTGTGACAATCCAGACATTTCCAGGATCCTAGTAAACACCCTTAGTACAAGGCATGGTTTCCCTAAGAATAAGCCCGTTCAAGAGACCAAAATAGATTGAAGTTGCTTAGTGAGCACAGAATTAGAACAAATGGAATTGCCGTCTGTAGAGATGTTTCATCAAACAAGAATAACTGATTAAACTGCTCTGCTCGTCTCTGGGTACATTCCTGTCGGAATAACTAGACCTGGACCTCAAATAAATACTGACAAGTTTTCCTTTTAGCTTTCGTTTTCCTAGAATCACTTCAGACAACCATCCTTCTGTTAATGCATCGCCACCTCAGATAATAAGAATGTACTTGATTGGATTGAAACTTGAAAACATTAATTACATTCCTGTCCTGGGGATTCAACCTAAAGAGACAGAATTATTCTGCATAAGGCTGGAGAAGCACAGGGGCCTGGACCCTGGCAGACTCTTAGGTTGTTAAAGGACCAGCAGAATCCTCCTGGACTCAGGAAATGCATCTTCACGAACTCCAGCTCTGGGGTTCCAGATGGGCAAGGCAGCTGCTCATTTGCTTTAGGTTTTTCTCCAAGAAGTACTAGGCTTCCTGGCAGCCAGGACAGTGCCCTCTCTCCCTACATGAACATCAGATGTGGACCCAGGAAGGAGGCTCAGCCTCTGGATAACAGCATTAACATCAGGGTCAGTAAAGTTCCTTTCTTTTTCCAATATTGTCCTACCTACTATCATGCTCCTTTTCCTAGAAATGAGCATATTATCCCACTGAAAGGTATGAACAGTTAAAACACAATAAAGTAAAACTGCACTGAGACCTTCAGATACCCTAAGAACAATCTATCCCTACCCACAGCATTTTTTTTGAGTTAGGGTCTCAAGGAACCCAGGCTGCACTATCTTTCTCCCGAGAGCCAAGAATGATCTCAAACTTCTGATCCTCCTGCCTCTGCTTCCAGAGTTGCTGGCATGTACCACTATTGCTGGCTATGCATTGCTAAGGATCACACTCTACTAACTGAGCTACATCCTTAACCCTCCCTTTTATTCTAGTGGAGACACCTACAGACATATTTTCACAGACTTATCAGTTATATATTATCTACTAAAATAGTCAAAAGCGAGACCATTATTCTGAGACAACTCCAAAGAATAAGAAATGCTTGAAACTGTTTTACATTTTCCATCCAACCCCTTACCAATATGTATAAATTCTTAACAAACCACAACCCAATTCAATGTGAACAGTATGGCAAAACTCAAGCTTAACTAATCAGAAATTATCAACTGACCTTTGGCTGTATGTTGAATTTGGCAGCTGGATTGCATTTCAAAAATAATTTTTAGAAGCTGGGACTATGGCCCAGTTAGTAAAGATCTTTCCATCCAAGCTTGAAGACCTGAGTTCAATCCCCTGGACCTAAACAAATACATTTGTAACCCCAGTGCTGGGGAAGCCTAAACAGAATCACTTGGGCTCCCTGGCCAGCCAGCACGGCTTACTCATTGATCTTCAGCACAGTGAGAGCCTTTTCAAAAAGGTGAGGCCAGCTGAGAAGACTCAGCAAGTGTCATGCAAGCCTGGCAACCTTAATTCAGCCTTCCAGCCTTCAGAACACACATAAAGCTGAAATGAAAGAATTGACCCCATTTAGGAACAAACTTTACCCTGGTGTTATTCTCTAAACAATCCAGTATGACAACTGTGTCACAGCCTTCCCATTGTATAGATATTACCAATAATCTGGAGATGGTTTCATGTATACAGAAGGAGGTGCATAAATTATAAGCAAATATATCAGAATTTTATTTAAGGGATCTTCATTCTCAGATTTTGATATCTACTAAAGTACTGAAACTAGCCAAGGGATAATGAAAATTAGCTGTGTTGTCTCTTTTTCCTTTCCATGAACATGTAAGTTTCTCTTCTTTCCCTCCCCAACTAGTTGCATTGAGCCACTTACAGTCTGTTGTTGCTTTATTGAGAAATCACTGAGGTGGCTCACATAAACTCATTAAAATTTTAATGTGCCTATCTATAATGCATTTAACTTTAAATATTCCATGCACTTATCTGGATGTCACTACATCCTAGTTGCCTACAAAAACAAATAGCCTAAGTGAAGTAAGAAGGTAATTTAATATCTGAGTAGAATAATACTGCGTGTTTAATTTTAAAATATAGCTTAAGTATAACAGTGCCAACATAAAGTTACCTTCGTTAAAGAATAGTAATTGGATTTAATGTTGCATATATACACGGTTTCCATTAAAGGAAAGAAAGTGAAGTTTATGTGTGAGTATAAACTAATGAAGGAAGCTCAGCTCATCTGTGGTGCTCTTCAGACTACAGGACAGCATACACAATGAAAACAGATTGGAGAATTAGCATTAAAGCTCATGGCTTTAGTAACTTCTGGAAAACACATCTACATATTTTGATCTTAATCTGGTCTTAACCTGGGATGGTAAAATGCACACATTAGAAAGGAGTCTTCACAGGCGATCAAGTTGCAAGTCAGGTTATGGGTCCCATTTTAACTTCTTGATCCATTTGTCCTGATGGAATGGGAGTAAGTTGGTTTGGAGTCTTCTTATGCCTAGTAAATTGTTCTTCTTGGGACACTGGCCACTCTGCCAGGCAGTGGTTGGAAAGGATGGATCGTGCCTTCCCAGGATTTCATGGTACTGATTGACTGAGATCACCTGTGTGAGTTCAGACTGCATCTGATTACAGGCTTTAGTGTCCCAGGACCAAAGATTACACCAGCTCCTCGTGGTCAGAAACAGAAACAGAGACAGTTTATTAAGAGAAGTAAAGCAGCCCTAGAAATGAGAGTGGGTTAGTGAGCTGAGGGAAGAGCTGCCTAGGTTGTATGGCTCTTCTAGGATCTTCATAGTCCTCACCTCTCCCATTTGTATTTCACAGACTTTCTCACGCCCTGTGCATGTTCTGCTCTTAAGATGAAGCCCCAGGAAAGGAAGGTTTCAGACTTGCCCTGCAAACTGGCCTCTCTCACATGTAAATTTTAATATTTCAAACCTGGAGGTCTCTGTACAACTTGAAGGCAGCCCCACTGAAGACTCTCTGCTCCCTTGGCAATTGTTTAGGGAAGCATGGTTATTGCCCAGAAAGGCTTATTAAACTCAAGAACTGGGTCTTTTACATAATTGCCCTCATCAAGGTATAAATTATCTTGTCTTCTCTCTTCATCCCACAGGAAATTACTGGAATGCTGCCTCCTTCCCAAATCCATCGTCCTACCTGCACTTCTCTACCTTCCAAGGAGAAACCAGTGCTGACATCTCTTTCTACTTCAAGACGTTAATCCCTCGGGGAGTGTTTCTGGAAAATCTTGGGAACACAGACTTCATCAAGCTGGAGTTGAAGTGTGAGTACTTATTTTCTATCAACATGCTAGTGGCCTCTCTGGTTACAGAAATGTCTCAAGAGAGCTGGCAAAGAAGGCGAGGAAACACTGCTCTTCTAATGGTAGGAGGGCACTCAATAATGTTCCTTGTTTGATGCTCTCCAGGGGAGTAGGTCAAGAGTAGACAGAGGTGTGTAAGCTGATCTGAATGCCGAGAGTAGATGGACCAACATGGGGGAAAGTAGAAAGAAGATATAAAGCTCTCAGTGTGGCTGAGGCAGCCATAGATCAGCTATCTGATGAAACAAAACACCGCTGTACACTTTTCTCAATGAAGTTCCACATCCACACCTTCCAAAAAAGTGTATGATCTTAATTTGTTTAGCCAAGGGCATAGAATTCAGAGTCAGGTCCAGTTGTCCTTGAATCCACCAACCATATGGAGCTCTACTTTGGGACTGCTTCCATGAGAAGACAGGCCAGGCAAATCCACAAACAATTCTTGCCTCACCAAGGCTCTTGTAGCCTCAGGGCCCAAGTTCAGATTTGGGAAGTTATAATACACAGACCTCCAGGCTAAATGGTTACTTGCCAGGCTCTTCTATATGTTAAAATAAGTCAAGATCATGTGGGAGACTCTGAGCCCAGTCTTCTGAGATCTCAGGCCCCTGCTGAGTATGTCAGACGGGCTTCACCCCCTGCACTAACTTGAGTATGTCAGATCAGCTTCCCCCTTTACCCTTGCCCTCTCTGTCCTCTGTCCTAGCTCATGCTTCTGTTCCAAGAATAAGCCCAGATCTATTTCCCAGTATATCTGAGGTTTTTCTCTTTTTGTACTTATAAATATGCAATGTGCCATTTTAAAAAGATAATCTCACATACACTTTTTCCCACTGAAATCCCACTGGGTTTTCTTTGTAAATGATATTGTGACAAAGCAAAAATGGGTAAGGGTGTCAAGAGTCTCAAGTTCAAACCCAAATTTTGGGATTGAATTATTTAATCTCTATGGATCCCAATTTTCTGAAATATAAAATTATGGTGTTAATTTTGGGAGACTATTCTGAAAATGGCCCGGGGGGTGGGGGGAGGCAGATATTTGTGGAGAATGTATTTCAGTGTCCAGTAAGTACCAGAATTATCTTCCCAAGGTTGTTCATTGTAATGCAGCATTTTTCAGGTATGACAGGGTCTTTCTCAACCCAGTTGTGCTGGAACCAAGGTCCTGAGGCACCAGACACTTGGTTGTCTCAAAAATAATCATGAGACAGTGGATCCAAATCCATTGTCTCACACCAAGGAAGGTTAAAGATATTCACTCCTCATGGGAGAATGAGCAGCAGAAGAAAACTTCACTACAAATCACAGAGCAGTAAGAAATTGAGGGGAAGTGACAGAAGGTCCTGAGAGGAAGAGAGGTTTAAGAGAGGAAAAGACTGTCAAGTTCCTTTGTCCAGGGGATTTCACAGGGCCATGGCAGATGCTAGACAAAGGCTGAAGTGCTGTCTACTGGGCTGGCTACTTTTCTGGGCTGCGGTGACTGAGTCAATGGAGGCCCATACTCTATGCTGTCCCCCTGGATCAGCCATGGAAACGGTCCCGTGTTGTTCATGTACTGTTCGTCTCTTCCTCCAGCCTTGTTAGTTATAAACCTTGAATCTCAATAGCTGTTAGTCATTTTGTCAGTGTCACTACCCTCAGACTTGCAGATACCTCAGGAGTTGTTCATTATTCTATGCTTTCTTTATTCTCATATTTACACAGTCCGCTATAGTTTTTTTACCATGGCTGAGAATGAATGCTACCCCAGCCACCATGATGTAGTTGCAGTCTTTCTTGATTGCTGCATTTCTAGCTAGTGATCTGAGGTAGTCTCCTAAACAGAAGCCCATTGTTAGAAGCCATCCTTACTGATAGTTGAGTTTGTTGCAATCAGCTTCATTAGAAGCAAAAATTAAGACAGGATGATAATGAATTAAATATGTCCCTGGGGACTTTGGAGAAGCAAACAACTGGTCTGCCATCACTGGCCAAGATCCTTGTCCCTTCCCTTATCTGTCTAGCTTAGTTATCTCATATTCAACTGCAGGCCTCCTTTTCATCTTCCTCACTGGTCCAGACCTTGCTATGCAAACTCGTCACCTTTCTTTAACCCCAGATTCTATTGTCTCTGCAATAGACCTGGGCAACTTGAAGTTTTCACCATGGGCAAGATCTGATTAAAAAGAAGACTTAAAACAGTCTGTCCCTAGAATTAAAACTAATTAATTTATTGATTAAAATGCCCTCTCCACTGAATCAGGGCTCATAATTATTAAAATAGGATTTTTCATTTCCTTTGGTTAAAATTAATTTAATCAGCTATGTTCTTTCTTCCATGTTAGTTAAATGGCATATTAGAAATATCCCATGGCCTAAAAATGGACAGCTCTATATTTGAAAAGTTCCATACTTTTCTATAATGTTACTGGGATTCTCTAACTGCTTTCCCTGCTTGTATTTGGTAGAGTCGTGTCTGGGTAGGAAGGGAGGAGAAATTGAGTTCAGAGAGAGCAGGTGTCTTGGCTTTCCACATGCATCAAAGAATTTCATTTATTTCTTATTGAGGAAAATCTTCAGAGAGGCTTTCAAAGCCTTGTAGGTGTGTGGATTATGAGCCTAAAGCTTCACCTACTGCTCTGAGGCTCCTTCCTTGTAGGTCTTTCTACAATATGAAAAGCATAGTAGAAGGTGAATTACAACCTCCATTTTGCAGTACCACTGATCTTTTCTGTCATATAGTTTATACGGGGTGAAGACATACAGAATCTCTAAGATGAAGAGTTGGGACAGTCTCTTCTAGAGCCTCCTGTACCTCCTATAAACCAGTAAAAGTGAAAATACTTTTTAAAGACCCCTGACTGGCAGATAGTAGAAACCATCAGTTTGTGTGTGTATCTCCATTAGATTTCAAAGGGACCTTGGTGCATTGTACACCATGCGGCATGGCAGACTTGTGTACAGGAGAGAAACATAATTAAAGTTAGTAGGAAGTGCTTCTGCAAAGCTGCCAACCCTTAAGAGAAATTGAGGTGCAAACTAGTTTACTTGGGCTGATTATGTTTCAGCCTGGTAAAAGGCTGAGCCAAGGCATCTTGAATATGTAAGTTCTCACAGATTTCACGCAACTGTTTTGACAAAAAAAAAGTAAAAGTGACTGAAATACCTGAGGACAACTTAAAAGGGGAATTATTTAATCTCAGCTCAAGATTTCGAAGAGTTAGTGTATGGTCAGATGACCCCATACACTTGGGCAGAATATCTCAGCAGAAAGATTCTGTGTCCTGAAAGCTGTTGACTTGAGAGATGACCTGAAAGAAGAGAAAGGTCATTCAGAAAGGTATCAGTGCAACATAGAGCCCCAAAGGTGGCCTAGGTCCTTCTGCAAGGCCCCACCCAACAGTGCCATCAAATTACAATCCATCAGGGGATTGATGCATTCATTAGTTCAGAGCCCCCAGGATCTAATTGTCTCTGGAACCTTATCAGACACACACAGGTGCACTCCACTTAATCCAGTCAAGCTAACAATGAAGATTAACCATCAAATGTATCATATCAGCTATTTGTCAAGGATGCAGATTGAGACAGACAAGGTAGAAAGGTATCTCCCAAGGAAGGGATTGAGTATCTTAAACATTACATGAAAAATTTCTTGGGAAGGGGGTGTTTACAGAGTTGACAATCCTAGTGAGTAGCTGTAGGAAAGGCGTGTCCCACTACCATGAAAATAACCATTGGCATCTCAGCAACAGGATGCAGTGACTTTGGGCCTAGGAGAGTTTGAGAATGTTCTAGGTATTGTTATTTTGTAAAAGTTTAAACAGTGGAGAAGAAAAGAAACTGTGAGATGGAAAAACCTGGCATGGTTGACACTTGCTAGCACTTCACTAATCACAGTTTATTCATTTTGACTTTTCTGTGTCAGATTTCTGGGTAGTGGGTTAAGAATCCTTCAGTAGCTGACTGCCAGGGGCTGAGGAAAAGTGTTTGCTGCAAGCAACTTTGTTTAAACACTCTCCTCTCCCCCCCCCCCCCCCCCCCCCCCCTCTCACTGTGTCCCACCTGCCCTCTGCACTGTCTTCTTTTGCTGTTTATTTTACAAGGAATTTAAATTTTGTTTCTCTGCGTGCATCTCAGAGGAATTTTGTCACAGTGCATGCCTACATGTTGCTTTCCAGAATAGCAGTCCCGTTAATTAACTACATTGTGCCCTTCTGTCAAGAGTAGAGGATTCTTGACTCAGAGAACAGTGAGCTTGTGTACCACAAGTTAACGAGATGTCATCAACATCCTTTTCGAAAGTAGAAAAACACAAGATAAAATCAGAGCCATCTTACTCATTAGCATATTTTAAGGTACAATTTTGACTGTTTCTCACTTACTATTTAATGTTTATTCATTCATTCAGTGAGTTTTTCCCGGATGTTTACTAGGCTTCTGGTATTGTGATAGGTGCTGGGGGAACATGCTCAAAATCACTTTCTTCCCCCCACAGATATGGCCATTTGGAAAGTAGACAAGTAAATTGGTGGTCGGTTATTAACAGGCCAACTCAGCCTTCTTGGGTCATTTTGCCTCAGGCCTTGTTTCAGACTCTCTATACAAATCATCCCCCATCCTAATAACCCGCCAAAGTGAACATGGCGTTCACACATCCACTTTACAAATAAGGAAACTGAGGCATAAGGTGAGGATGCTCACACAGCTAGGAAGTGCAGAGCTAGGTCTTGGCCTCAACCTTTTGCCCCTGAGTTATCACTGTGACCTTGGCAGCCCTCACTTCCCTCAACAGACAGACTGCCTGCGTGTGCTGATGGAGAATATTAAAGCTGAAGTGGAGTGACAGGCTCTTCCCAGGGAATGTAATGCTTTAATTAAATTTTGATGGATGAGCAGGAGTCGATAAGGTAAAGATGAGAGGAAAGCAAGAATCTGGAAAGGAAGGGCGGTTCAGGATAACACCAAAGGAATGAAAATAC